TACACTTCGATCTGATTATATGATTCAACAATTTTCTTGATATTTAAATCTCATTTAAGAAAAAAAAGGTATCACTTGATTTCTTCTTGAAGCCTGTACTCGCTTTTCTCTGTCATTTTGGAGTTTAAACTCTGCAGCATATCAAACAATTGTATTTCACTTAACACTTTTGAGCAGAGCTGTTTGATTATCCCCTTCTATATTGCTAAAGACAAGACAACAAAATGTCTGACAGAATATAAAACAGTAATGAAATGGGATTTTCCACAATGCTGACCAATTGTTCCTTGATTTTTCAATCACAAACTCAATTAATATGGTAAAAAAAAACACAAAATACATAGCTAAATGAAGAAACAGAATCTGAGATCTGATCAAACATCTTAGTCGCATCTGCAATAACCCAATTAAATAAATGATGTGTGTGTGACTAGTTCCAGAATAATTTGGCAGCAATCCAGTGCTATGAGCCAAAGAGATCATGATGTGTGTAAATGAGAGATTCTAAAGTCTGGTCTGCAAAGACCCTAACAATGCATTCTTTCCATTACTTTTCTCAGGCTCACAGATCAGATAATAAGTGTGGTTCTCTTGTACATGGTTATTATATTTATTATTATTTATTTCAGGTACTTATATAGCGCCGTCAATTTACGCAGCGCTTTACATATATATATTGTACATTCACATCAGTCCCTAACCCTCAAGGGGCGTTGCACAACCATCTCTAGGGTTTACAGAAAATGGGCTGAAATAGAGAAAATATCCAGTGAGCGGCAGCTGTGTGGACAAAAATGCCTTGTCGATGACAGAGGAGAATGGGCAGGCTGGTTGCTGTGACATTCAGATGGTAGGGTCAGAATCTGGCGTAAACAACATGAAAGCATGGATCCATCCTGCCTTGTATCAACGGGTCAGGCTGGTGGTGTAATGGTGTGGGGGATATTTTGTTGGCACTAGCAAGGTGTATCTAATAAAGTGGCCGGTGAGTGTATTTTAATATATTCAGGGATAGGACAAAAATATAGAGACACTACACGATTTGCAGGTGTGAAAGTGATGACATGTTTTTCACTGAAAGTGGAAGTGATGTAACATTCTGTTGCTTCCGCTGTGTGATGAGACACCTAGCTAACAGGTGGGATGTCTCACTTTTGTCATTCACTGTGTGCGCTGCTGGTAATACGGAGTCATGTCAGGCTTACTGAGCTTCAAAGAGAGCAAATTGTTGGTGCCCGCTTTGCTGGTGCCTCTGTGACTGAAGTTGCCAATTGATTTGCTGCGTCACGAGGTACAATATCAAAGGTAATGACGGCATATACAGTTCTGGGAAAAGCACGGTCAACATGGAGGAACCACCGGCTGAGAAAAAAGTGGGATCGGAGGAGTACAGAGCCATACAAAGCAGTGTGCAGGAGCTGACAGGAGAGAGATCTGTGTTATTTATACACAGGTCTCTTCCCCATCGGTAATACTCGGCGACCACCGGGTGCCGGCGAGGAATCACCGGCTACGACCCGGTGATTGATATCAGAGGCCGCAAATGGCGGCACGCGTGCGCCCCCTACCCGGAACTACAAAATCACGTATATATGTGATTGTACGCACCCGTGCCGCCCTGTAGCAGTATTTCTGCAATAGGGTGGTGCAGAAGCGGTTAAAAAATAGTAGAAGTAGTTCCCTCTTATTATAGCAATGTTAAGGGGTTTTTTTATACTGGTAATATACAGATTTCCACCAGAAATCTAATTTTCTACTTCAATGACTGGCCCACTTCTAAAGTGAAGCAAACTCAGCAGATTTTCTCATTACAACAGTGACATTGTAACAGGTGGTTACAACAAGGATGGCTGACCCTCCCATTTACAAATGATTCTGAGAAGGCAGAGTATAACAAACATCATTTTCTTCAGAGCAGGAAAGGTATGAATCTACAAATATGTTAGTTAGAATCCTTGCATTGTACACTGTATAACAAAAGGGAATTGTTTTTTAACCAACAAAACCGGAGTTACACTTTAAAGCCCAATTTACCTTTCAGTTGAAACTATTAAACACTTTTCTGGGTACATCACAACAAAAGCTGCCAAATCTTGCAGTTTGTTTACTTAAGAGCTCCTTCATGGTTGAACGCACGGCTGCTGGCATGCGGTGAGAGGAAATGTGCCAGTACCATGTTTTTTTACATTTTTCTTTGTCAGAACTTGTCACAAGTGAAATGTTAGCAGTGTTGCCAAGCACAGCCCAATGCAAATAATGTCAACGGCCTCCAGAGGATATACCCCCTTCATGACCAGCCCATTTTTTGCAATATACGGCGCTGCGTTACTTTAACTGACAATTACGCAGTCATGCAACGCTGCACCCACATAAAATTTATATACTTTTTTCCCACAAACAGAGCTTTCTTTCGATGGTATTTGATCACCTGTGGGTTTTTAATTTTTTGCGCTATTATAAAAAAAAAAAAGGCCGAAATTTTTGAGAAAAAAACTGTATGTTTTACTTTTTGCTATTAAACATGTCCAGTAAAAAAATTTTAAAAATCTAATTTCATCATAAATTTAGGCCAAAATGTCTTTGCTAAAAGACATCCCAATATGTGTAAAGTAATAGGTTCATTTATTTATTTTTTTACTAGTAATGGCGGCGATCAGCGACTTACAGTGGGACTGCGGCAGGCATTCTGACACTGGAGGGAACGGACTTTGTGTCAGTGTACAATCCAAAAGCACACGTTCCTGCGTTAAAAATGGCTGTGTGTATAAGTGGGTGCTGCAGCAACCGTAGGCTGGAACCAAACAGAATCAGTAAGGGAGAATGTCACCAGAACACCGAGGATCACCAAATGGGTCCAAATGTTTTAATAAACGATCACATAGTTACAGCAAGGCAACATTTCATAGTCTCACAGGACCCCTTTTTGGACACATATTGGTTATCCTGTGTGCTGGTGACATTCTCCCTTGCTGACTTGGTGTCACTGACATCCCTAGTGACACCAATACAGTGATCAGTGCTAATAAAAAGCACTGACACTGTACTAATGGCACTGGGCAGGAAGCGGTTAACATGTGGGGTGATCAAAGGGGCAACTGTGTGTGTGTGTCATTTTACATGATGTTCTGTGTTTGTGTTTCACTGTAAGCACACTGCTTTGCATGGCTGTGTGCAGGAGCTGACAGGAAGGAGAAATTGTTTTGTTTACTAACATCCCCACCCCCCGTCGGAGATCCTCAGCAATCACCGGGCGTTGGCGAGTAATCACAGACTGGGACTCTGGGATTTACAGCCGTGGCTGCAAATGGTGGCGCGGGTAGGGAGCGTGCGCCCCCTACCTGTAAATGCAAAATCACATATATATACAGTGTGTGTGTATATATATATACACACACACACTCAACAGATGTGATTTTGCGCACAGCTGCTGCCCTGTTGCAGTATTTCTGATATGGGGCAGAGCTAAAGCAGTTAAAAGCAGCTACAGTCTGGGCCTGTACTTTGCCAGTATACTTTGGACTGAGATAGAACAGCAGGCCGAGACATAAAGCTGACGGTCACAAACGTGCGGACAAGGATTACTGCGCATGTGCAAAATGCCATTAAATAGTCTTTCATTAATTTTTGTGCATTTTGGATGCAGAAAAAAAGCAACTGAAACGCATGTAGTGTGAACTGCCCTAAGAGCTAGTGCAGTCCATTTAACATGATTTCCTATGGGACATGTTTACATCTGCGCATTTTCACCAGATGTGTTTTTTGGAAAGGGTCAGGGAATTGTTTTATTGCAAAAAGTTAGGTTTTTTGTTCTATAGAAAGCATGTAGAACAAAAAACAAGAAAAGCATGTATTGCATTTTTGCTGCGCTTTTGCTGCGTTTTTGATATGTTTTGCATTTTAAATCTGCCTATCAACTAGAAAAATGCTACAAAAATTAGAAAAAAAGCAAAGCGCATCAAAAATGCGGAAAAAATTACGCAACAATGCAGGTGCCAAAACGCAATGCAAAATGCACAATTAGGCTCAATTCACACAGTGCACACACCTGGGTCAGGAATTCTAAGGCTAAGGTGAAAATGACAGCATCTCCATTTTTTTGGTCATGAGACTTTTTTGAAAAAGTTGCGTTTTTGGTTCTATGGACTTCAATGGAAACATGTATTGCATTTTTGCTGCATTTATATGCGTTTTAAATCTGCCTAGCAACAAGAAAAATTAAAAAAAAGTGAACAAAACAGCAAATGCATCAAAAATGCGTAAAAAACGCAGGTGCCAAAACGCAATGCAGAAATAGCTCTAACGCAAGCTACATAGGTGTGAACCTAGCCTAAACCATTTTTTGTATAATGTTTTTGTATTAAAATATTTCCTGTACAAGACAATAGAAAAAAATTCAGCATTCAATACATTTAGAATAGTCAGTACAGAAAAAGGCAAAAAAAACAAACAAAAAAAAAACAGGATTTTGTTGTAAAGCTCCTCTATTTATACATATATACAAAAGAAAGCCTATTGTTTACAGCAATCTTGCAGATCAAGCTGTTGCTGATCATCCAGGCAAGACTAGCTGCTTTAAGAAAAGTACAATCCTGTACATCCCACCCCCAACAACTTTGCTGTGGTCAGTTGTCACCATCAGAGGTCCCCACCGTTCCATGCTGCTTCCAGATCTTCCAGTTTTTGGGGGCGAGTACCACAGGCTCTGTTTCCTCTGGGAGGAGGGGCAGGGCTTGCCAGGCCCTGAGTGTGTTTCCATGGATGCAGCTAGGTTGCTAAGGGGGCATGGTTAGTGGCTGGGTAATTGACTGCACATGAAAAAAAAATGATTCATCATATGGTCTCAGTGTCACCCCCACCCCCCATAAAAAATAGGGTTTAATATGCACAGCTGTTCCAGTCCTTTTAAATACACTTCCACCAGTGTTAATACACAGTATTTACTATTACTGTTGTCCATAGCAACCACCAGAACAACTCTGCGCCAGGGGCGGACTGACAACTCATGGGGCCCCCGGGCAATAGGGGATCATGGGGCCCCTGTGTCCTTGCCCAAACTCAAAAAAGCCTATGAAAAAGGTACCAGGGGCATCTCATGGGGCCCCCTACTGACCCTGGGCCCTCGGGCAGTGCCCGAGTTTCCAAATGGTCAGTCCTGGTCCTGCTCTGCACTATGTTATTTAAACCTAAAATACCGCTCGTGCCATATCTCCAGATCAATGAACCCCATGTAATACTAAATACAAATAAATATATACGCATCAACATGACATCCCATAATACCAATAATGCAAACAGTGCACATAGCAACCAGATGTCCATGGTTATGTTTCTTTTTTCCCAAAATGAAGACAGTGTGTCATTTTCCATAGCAACCATCCACCAAACTGATAAAGTGATCAAAGCGATTGATTTCAGTATTCAGTATACACCCTCTGTGTACAATAAACAACCAAATATCCAATGTATTACCATACTGTGCAATAGTGACAATCAGCATAGAAATAAATTGGCAAAATGTAAAAATCAGGCTTTTTCTGATTTTTTTTTTTTTGCATTGTGTAAATATTGATAGATACATACATACATACATACATACACATGCAAGAAAAGAAATAACAAAAAAAAGGCAAAATTGAAAACTCAGGCCTGTTTTCAAAATTTTGCCTTTTATTTTCATTTCTTTTGTTTTTTATATATATATATAGATATATAGAAAATTATTATTATTATACAGTATTTATATAGCACCAAAAGGTTTGCTCAGCGCTATACATTATAGTGGGGGACAGAACATGAGACAATACAGTAACAAAACAATACACGAGGGGTTCGAGGGCCCTGCTCTTTCGAGCTTACAATCTAGGAGGGAGGGGACAGTGGTACATATATATGCAATGTATGCAACAAAAGCCTGTTTTTTTTACATTTTCCATTTCCAGCAACTAACAGCAATCTTGTAGATCAAGCTGTTGCTGCTGCTGACCATCTAGGCGAGATTAGTCAATCAAAATGCCGCTGGAAGCAGCTCGATTGGCCAGCCTTGTGATAACAGGGCCGAGAACCCCATAAAAGTAGCAGCAGCAGGTCTGGTCGGTTTCAGCTTGCTCCTTGCGCTGACAACTGTTCTCAGTTGCTCTTCAAAGCAATTTCGTTGATTGATTTCTTATATTAATCATCACATTAGTGAGACCAAAAATGTGGACAATTGTGAAAACGATGATCTTTATCACCCTTCTAGCTCTACAATTAGGCTCAATTCACACAGTGCACACACCTGGGTCAGGAATTCTGAGGATAAGGTGAAAATGACAGCATCTCCATTTTTTTGGTCACGAGACTTTTTTGAAAAAGTTGCGTTTTTGGTTCTATGGACTTCAATGGAAACGCTGCAGAAAATCATGTATTGTGTTTTTGCTGCATTTTTATGCGTTTTTAAATCTGCCTAGCAACAAGAAAAATAAAAAAAGTGAACAAAAACAGCAAAATGCATCAAAAATGCGTAAAAAAACGCAACGCAAAACGCAATGCAGAAATGGCTCTAACGCAAGCTACATAGGTGTGAACCTAGCCTAAACCATTTTTTGTATAATGTTTTTGTATTAAAATATTTCCTGTACAAGACAATAGAAAAAATTCAGCATTCAATACATTTAGAATAGTCAGTACAGAAAAAGGCAAAAAAAAAAAACAAACAAAAAAAAACCAGGATTTGTTGTAAAGCTCCTCTATTTATACATAGATACATAAGGAAGCCTATTGTTTACAGCAATCTTGCAGATCAAGCTGTTGCTGATCATCCAGGCAAGACTAGCTGCTTTAAGAAAAGTACAATCCTGTACATCCCGCCCCCAACAACTTAGCTGTGGTCAGTTGTCACCATCAGCGGTCCCCACCGTTCCATGCTGCTTCCAGATCTTCCAGTTTTTGGGGGCGAGTACCACAGGCTCTGGTTCCTCTGGGAGGAGGGGCAGGGCTTGCCAGGCCCTGTGTGTGTTTCCATGGATGCAGCTAGGTTGCTAAGGGGGCATAGTTAGTGGCTGGGTAATTGACTGCACATGAAAAAAAAAAAAAAACGATTCATCATATCGTCTCAGTGTGACACCCCACCCCCCACCCTGGGGCGGACTGACCATTTGGAAACTCGGGCACTGCCTGAGGGCCCAGGGTCAGTAGGGGGCCCCATGCTATGCCCCTGGTACCTTTTTCATAGGCTTTTTTAAGTTTGGGCAATGACACAGGGGCCCCATGATCCCCTATTGCCCAGGGCCCCATGAGTTGTCAGTCCGCCCTTGCCCCCACCCCCCAAAAAAAATAGGGTTTAATATCACTGTAACCACTTGAGCGCCTGAGGAATTACCCCCCTTAATGACCAGGCCTTTTTTTGCTGTTTGGCGCTGCACTAATTCAAATGATAATTGCGCGGTCATGCAATGCTGTACCCAAACGAAATTTACGTCCTTTTTTTCACACAAATAGAGCTTTCTTTTGGTGGTATTTTATCACCTGTGCGCTTTTTATTTTTCACGCTATAAACAAAAAAAAAAACACAAAAAATACTGAAAAAAAAAAAATATTTTCTACTTTCAGCTATAAAAAATATATAGTAAACTCAAAGTTAGTCATAAATTTAAGCCAAAATGTATTCTGCTACATGTTTTTGGTAAACAAAAAATCCTGTGCATTAGCGGGCAAACTGGCGCTATCTGGGAGGGGCCTTAACACTATCGGAAGTCACCAGTGACACTAATACAGTGATCAGTAAAAATCTGTTCACTGTAATCAATGACACTGGTGACAGGGCAATGAAGGGGTTAACTTGGGGGGGGGGGGGCGATCAAGGGGTTAAATGGGATTACTGGTGTACTGGCGGGCAAACTGGCGCTATCTGGGAGGGGCGCTAACACTATTGGAAGTCGCCAGCGACACTGATACAGTGAACAGTAAAAATTGGTTCACTGATCAGCACACTGGTGACAGGGCAGTGAAGGGGTTAACTCGGGGGGGGGGGCGATCAGGGGGTTAAATGTGTCCTAGAGTGTTCTAACTGTGGGTATGTGCTGTTTTACTCACAATTTGTATGTCTTCTTCTCTGTCTGGAACGGAATGTGTCCAGGCAGAGAAGAATGACATCATATCCTGTCCTGTGAAACTGTCAACACAGGACAGGATAGGACAGGGACCGATCATCTGATTTCAACCAGACATCACTGGCTGAAATCGAATGATTGATCCCTCCGGGATCAAATGGTTTCACTTGCGGGTCGGCGGGAGCGCGCGCGCGTGCCCCCTGCCCGCGAAAACTTCGGGAGCGCGGAGCGCGTTTTGAAACGTGCTTTTGCGCCCCAGTGCCGCCCTGCACACGTATATATGCAGTGGCAGGGCGGCAAGTGGTTAAGCTTTGATATCAAAAGCTGATAGGCTGCTATGCACAGCTGTTCCAGTCCTTTTAAATACACTTCCACCAGTGTTAATATACAGTATTTACTATTACTGCTGTCCATAGCAACCACCAGAACAACTCTGCATTTTTGATGCTGAAAAAAAAAGTGCACTGAACTGCATCTAGTGTGAACTAGCCCTTAAGCTGGCCATACAAGTATAGATTTTCTTTCAAGAATTTTTGTTTCAAGAATATTCGTTTGATTTTCGAATCGTTAGTGGGGTCAAATCGATGTTTGTTTTCGACCGCAGTGTCGAGAAAATTCAAAGGGGCAGGAAGGAAAACTTTTCTCGATCAAACGAATTTTCGGCCAGTATATGTAGTTATCATTCAGGAATTACATTTATTTTAAACTCAAATGTTAAAAGCAAAAGACAATTTTCGCACAACATTCGTCCATTCACCGAATGTTCAAAGAATGCTCATACGACTTTTTGTACGAATATTCTCGTCTGAAAATCTATGTGTGTATGGCCAGCTTTCGGGTAAAACGTTTTTTTTTTTTAGTTTTTTTTTTACACAATGCATTTCACAGAAAGGTCCTGAAATTCATGAACTAAAATCTCCCCGTTCCACACAACCAAAGTTACCAGTTCATGAATGGTTTGCCCAGCACAGTAGCCCTTTAAAGCGGAACTGCACTGCATCTGAAACCGAAAATGCTGTTTAATTCAATTTTAATATTCAAACCAACCTTCCCATCCACCCATGTCTCCATGCTTTATTTTGCTGAGAAATAATTTTAAAAAAACGCCCCCCTAGCATTTCTGGCAGTGGCCATCTTGAGTAAGGGCAGAGGATTCATGTATCATTTACTTCCTGGAATCCATCTGTTCTTAGCTCAGGCACAGCCTGAGCGGAGAACCCTCGCCTCCTCTATAGTCTCACTACCTAGTGAGTGACCTAGAACAAGCATGCAGCCAGTGAAGCATGCATGCTTGTACCCCTCACCCAGGAAGATTTAGATTTTAGTATATATTTTTTCTGAGCTCTTGTATTCATGTTCCAGATGATGATTGTAAATGTAACTTTTCTGATCTCTCCTCTTCAGATTTATCTCCGGACGGATTTGGCTTTTCCACCAGTCGACCAAATGGCACTTCATTACAAATCAATGATAATGTTTTCCTGACAGTACAACCTCCAATACGGTTTGTTCTTCCCATCGGTAAACAACCCTGTGGACACATTGATCCTGACACGATGAATTGTGACGCGATGGATTGTGACAATAACATGCTGTCAATCATCGCTCACATGCTGATTCTACTGTTTCTTGGACTAACAGTAAGCAGATGGTAAGTTATTTTAACACTTTTCTTATATATTGCCTAGGCAGGGCTCTGCAGTTCACTTACATGGCTCTTTCATCACATGTACACAAATTCTGTTCCCAGCTTCATTCACTAAATAATTTAAAAAATAAATGTGGCACATCGTGCAGGATACAGGTTTTCATGTCATCCTTTACTGTTTCTGAGCCCCCAATATTTGTTCATCCTGCATTTTTCCCTGATCTGCTGCTGATGTTGCGACTCCAAAATCATAAGGGGTCACCTAACAACTTTTTACTGCTGTAAAATAATGCTTTTTACGTACTGTCCTTTGTATAGATTGGGTTCTGGGGAGTTCATTTCCAAGATGGGTTTCCTATCTTTTTTGGGTCACCAAATGATAATACCTTACTAAGATTCACAGTTTTGCTGAGTTCCCTTACTACAACCCCAAATGAGGTTGTCACACCAGTACTTTGATCAATAATTAGGTCCCCCAGCAATTACCGAAAAGTAAACATTAGTTTTACATAGATTTAGCCCTTGCTTGTTATTTCAAACATTTTGATTAATTTGTGAACATACTATTTACATGACCTTTATAT